TCCTTTGGTGTGGGAGTTGTAGTTCACCCACATCCAGGTAAAGCACTGTGGACTCAAACAATGATGGATCTGGACCAAACTCTACACAAATAATATGCCCAAATGTGAACACTGGTGGAGTTTGAGGAAAATAGAATCTTGACATTTGGGAGTTGTACTTGCCGGGATTTATAGTTCACCCACAATCACAGAGCATTCTGAACCCCACCAATGATAGAATTAAGCTACACCTCCCACACAGAACCCCCATGTGGGCCACAGCAACGCGTGGCAGGGGATGGCTAGTTACATAATAAATATATAATAAACTGGACACAAAATGTATAATTATATAAATATACTAGCGGTCCCCTGCCACGCGTTGCTGTGGCCCAGTCTGGTGATCTGGAAAATAAAGTAATGAGAAAGTGTTGGTTTCTAATGTATGTAATGTCTTTCTGCTTGTGGGTAAACAGTATTTCTTGCCGTCCTCCGATCTGCTGGGATTTCTCCCGTTCTCCAAGAATTCTCAAAGAATCATACAATCATAGAGTTGGAAGAGACCTCATGGGCCATCCAGTCCCACACCATTCTGCCAAGAAGCAGGAAAATCGCATTCAAAGCACCCCCAACAGATGGCCATCCAGCCTCTGTTTCAAAGCCTCCAAAGAAGGAGCCTCCACCACACTCCGGGACAGAGAATTCCACTGCCGAACAGCTCTCACAACTTCTTCCTAATGTTCAGATGGAATCTCTTTTCTTGTAGTTTGAAGCCATTGTTTCGCCATTGACAATTGTCAGGGGTTCCAAAATGACTTCTGCTAGTTCCTTCAATACTCTTAAGTGTAGTTGATCTGGCCCTGGGGACTTGAATTTGTTTAGCGCGGGCAGGTATTCCTGGACAACTTGTTTCCCTATTTGGGGTTGTATTTCCCCTATTCCTTCATCCATTCCATGTTGCTGAGGTTGAGGATGGCTTTCTTTTTGTGAGAAGACTGAGGCAAAGAAGGCATTAAGTAGTTCTGCCTTTTCTCTATCCTCTGTCAACATTTCCCCATCTTCTTCTTGCAGAGGCCCTATCGCCTCTTTGTTCTTCCTTTTTCTACTGACGTAAGCAAAGAAGCCCTTTTATTGTTTTTAATGTCTCTGGCAAGCCTGAGCTCATTTTGCACTTTAGCCTTGCGAACCTTTTCCCTACAGGAGTTGGCTATTTGTTTGAATTTTTCTTTGGTGATTTCTCCCTTTTTCCACTTCTTGTGCATGTTTCTTTTGAGTCTTGGCCCAGTTAGAAGTTCTTTGGATAGCCATTCTGGCTTCTTTGCACTTGTCCTATTTTTTCCTCTTCATTGTTTCTTTTTGCAATTGCACCTTGAGTATTTAACTGCAATGCACTCTACATGGGGCTACCCTTGAAGACGGTTCAGAAACTACAACTTGTCCAACGCTCGGTGGCCAGATTAATAACCAGGGCGAATTACAGGGAGTGGTCAACCCCCCTGTTTAAGGAGCTCCATTGGTTGCTGTTTATTTTCCGGTCCCAATTCAAGATGCAGGTTATCACCTATAATGCCCTAAATGGTTTGGGGTTTGCCTACCTTCGTGACCGTATTTCCCCCCATGAACCTGCCCGATCTCTCTGATCTTTGGGGGAGGCTCTCCTTTCGCCCCTGCCCTTATCACAGGCCCGCCTTGTGGAAACAAGGGAGGGAGCCTTCTCCTCTGTGGCCCCTCGACTCTGGAACTCATTGCCCAGTGACATTAGGCGAGCCCCCACTTTAGAAAGTTTAAAGAAGGACCTCAAAACCTGGCTTTTCCACTGCGCTTTTGGAGAGTAACCATACAACCATACAGTTGCTCCCCCTCAACATTTGCTCCTTTACTACACTTCCCCCCTCCTGGATGAAGGCCTTTTTACGACTCCGCTTAAATAATCTACTCCATAAATAATCTCTCTCATAAATAATCTACTCCATCCCTATCTCACCCTGAGTTTTTAACATTTTAGTATTTTATCTTTTACATGTGGCCCACTCGCTGTCACTGTGATTGTTTACTGTACTCTTATGTTTTGGATATTTTATTATGCTGTTGTTTTGTGCTTTGGTTTTGTTTTTATTTTGTTGTAATGCGCTGTTGGGCTTGGCCTCATATAAGCCACCCCGAGTCCCCACTGGGGAGATAGTGGCAGGGTATAAATAAAGTTTATTATTAATTATTATTATTATTGACACAAAAGCACAGTATGTCACAGCAAACAAGATCTATATGCTGGATTTCATATCACAAAATCACAAGTCTAACACTTCCCAAGCATCTAGGACTGTGTGATGTATTTTCGAATGATGCGCGCAGATCCAAGTCAGGTGGCTTTTTGCAATTGAGAGATCGTGATTTTGTCAATGTTCATTGTTTCTAAATGCTGGCTGAGATCTTTTGGCACGGCACCCAGTGCGCCAATGACCACTGGGATCACCTGGACTGGTTGATGCCAAAGCCTTTGCAGTTCGATTTTCAGGTCTTAATAATGGCTGAGTTTTTCCTGTTGTTTTTCCTCAATGAGACTTTCACCCGGTATGACGACATCAATAATCCAGACTTTTTTCTTTTCCACAATTGTGATGTCTGGCGTGTTGTCTTCCAAAATTTGTCAGTCTGGATTCTGGATTTATTATTATTATTATTATTATTATTATTATTATTATTATTATTTTCTGGTGGACTTTGGGGACGCTTCTAACACACTCTTGCGATTCCCCCAGGTCTCCCTACCCTTAAGTTGAGAAATGCTGTCTTAAGGCCATGCAGTCCAACTCCCTTCACTAGGGCAAGAAAACATAAAGCCCTCCTGACAAAGAGCCATCCAGCCATAGATATAGATTTTTTATTTATTTATCGTATCATGAGCAACCATACCATTGCATTACATTTCTAACAGAACAAAACAAACAAACAGATAAAAAAAACTTGGTATTTGATTAAATGTCCTTTGACCAGTATCTGGCCACTTGGAGTGCCTCTGGTGTTGCCGCAAGAAGGTCCTCCATTGTGCATGTGGCAGGGCTCAGGGTGCATTGCAACAGGTGGTCAGTGGTTTGTTCTTCTCCGCACTCGCATGCCGTGGATTCCACCCTGTAGCCCCATTTCCGAAGGTTGGCTCTGCATCTCGTGGTGCCAGAGCGCAGTCTGTTCAGCGCCTTCCAAGTCGCCCAGTCTTCTGTGTGCCCAGGAGAGAGTCTCTCATCTCGTATTACCCATGGATTGAGGTGGTGGGTTTGAGCCTGCCACTTTTGGACTCTCGCTTGCTGAGGTGTTCCAGCGAGTGTCTCTGTAGATCTAAGAAAATTATTTCTAGATTTAAGTCATTGACATGCTGGCTGATACTCAAACAGGGGATGAGCTGGAGATGTCTCTGCCTTGGTCCTTTCACTATTTGCTGCTAACTTCCCGGCGGATGTCAGGTGGTGCAATACTGGCTAAGCAGTGTAATTTCTCCAGTGGTGTAGGGCACAGATATTTATTTATTTACTGTGCTTATATACCGCTGTTCTCAGCCCGGGGGCGACTCACAGCGGTGTACAACATAGAAAGGACAGGGTGCAAATTACAAGACACAATCTAAAATCAATCTAGCAATAACAAAAAACATCGTCATCAAAAACATCAACAATATCAATATCAATAATATAAAAAGCCATTCGCGTCATCTCATCGTTAAACCACAATCCAGTATCATTTTCCGTTGTCCCATTCCTGTCATCATTACCAATTATTGCCCTTCTTGTTTGAACGCCTTCTTGAACAGCCAAGTCTTTAGTTTCCTGCGGAATATCATCAGGGAAGGAGCCAGTCTGATGTCCACGGGAAGGGTGTTCCACAGCCGAGGAGCCACCATCGAGAATACCCCGTGATAATGCGCCATGTCTCATTAAGAGCCACATCCACTGTTTTAGCATGGTGAGATGTGTTCCACACTGGGCATGCATACTCAGCAGCAGAGTAGCATAGCGCAAGGGCAGATGTCTTCACTGTGTCTGATTGTGAGCCCCAGGTTGTGCCAGTCAGCTTTCATATGATATTGTTTCTAGCACCCACTTTTTGTTTGATGTTCAGGTAGTGCTTCTTGTAGGTAAGAGCATGTTCCAGAGTGACTCCCAGGTATTTGGGTGCGCTGCAATGCTCCAGTGGGATTCCTTCCCAGGTGATCTTCAGAGCTCAGGATGCTTCTCTGTTCTTGAGATGAAATGCACATGTCTGTGTTTCAGATGGATTAGGGATCAGCTGGTTTCCCCTGTAGTAGGCAGTGAGAGCACCTAGAGCTTCGGAGAGCTTCTGTTCTACCATCTCAAAGCTCCCTGCTTGAGCAGTAATGGCACGATCATCAGCATAGATGAAACTCTCTGTCCCTTCTGGCAGTGGCTGGTCATTTGTGTAGATGTTGAACATGGATGGAGCGAGCACGCTCCCCTGAGGCAGGCCGTTCTTCTGTTTCCACCATCTGCTTCTCTGGCCCTAGAACTCAACAAAAAAGCTCCTGTTTTGTAGCAGGTTTCCTATGAGGCGGCTGAGGTGGTAGTCCTTTGTGATATTATACATTTTCCTCAGGAGGAGGCGGTGCTTCACAGTATCATAAGCCACTGACAGGTCTATGAAGAGGTCTAGATATAGATAAATATATATGATTCACACACACACACATATATTGAAAGTGCCTAGTGGGCGGGGCCTTGCCAAGGTGACGTGCCTGCGGGGAGGGTAGGAGGGGAAGGGCGGGGCCTCCTGCCTCACCTCCATCTCCTGATTGGCAGTCTGAGTCCAGTGGGCGGGGCCTTGTTGAGAGCGCTGCGATGACGCATGCGCGTTCATTCAAATATGGCGGCGCTCGCAGGAGGGAGCTTGGTGGAGGCGTTGGTGAGCGAAGCTGCGGTCGGGGAGTGGGACTCCGCTTTCTTCCGCTGCCTCTTCCCTTCTCATTTTCCCCCTTTCTTTTTCTCTTCCTCCAGGGCCCCAGGGAAGCCTCGGCCGTCGCCCACGCGCTCTCTCTGCCGCCTGAGGCTTACGGCAACGACGTGAGTCTGGCCTTGCTTCCGGGGGGAGGGGAAGTAGGGGACCGGAAGTGCTGTGGGGTTTTGTTTTTTTGGCTCTTCCTGTTCTGAAGCTGTGTTGTTAAGCCAGCCTTTATATATTGAGCTTCCTTCGCCTTTAATGATTGCATTTCCATATCAAGTCCATACAGAGTTTATGCCATAAAGAACAACACTCAAAAACAGGGGAAATCCAGGCAAATAACAATCAGGGCCAGCTATTCACCTCCCAGCAATGAATTCTCCCATAGAATCAAAGAGTTGGAAGAGACCTCATGGGCCATCCAGTCCAACCCCCTGCCAAGAAGCAGGAATATTGCATTCAAATCACCCCTGACAGATGGCCATCCAGCCTCTGTTTAAAAGCTTCCAAAGAAGGAGCCTCCACTACACTCCGGGGCAGAGAGTTCCACTGCTGAACGGCTCTCACAGTCAGGAAGTTCTTCCTCATGTTCAGGTGGAATCTCCTCTCTTGTAGTTTGAAGCCATTGTTTCGCGTCCTAGTCTCCAGGGAAGCAGAAAACAAGCTTGCTCCCTCCTCCCTGTGGCTTCCTCTCACATATTTATACATGGCTATCATGTCTCCTATCAGCCTTCTCTTCTGAAGGTTAAACATGCCCAGCTCCTCAAGCCGCTCCTCATAGGGCTTGTTCTCCAGACCCTTGATCATTTTTGTCGCCCTCCTCTGGACACATTCCAGAAGCTGCAGTTTTCTAGGAGGGTCTGGACAGTTTTTGTAAAATCATATTATGATGATGTTTATTTCTTCTGGAATTGAAGTTTTGTCTCTTTTGCAGTAAATCTATACTTTTTTATGCATTCTCTTATTTCAAGCTTGAAGCTCAGATGTCCGTGGTGGCTGGGTGGGCCTTTCAACTGTTAAAACTTGTGCACCAGCTGCAACCATTCCTCAAAAAGTCAGACTTGGCCACAGTGGTCTACGTCTTTTTTATGTCTCGCATGAATTACTGCAATGCACTTTATGTGGGGCTGCCTATGAAGATGGTTCAGAAGCTTCAATTAGTGCAGTGGTTCCCAACCTGTGGGCCGTGAGACATAAGGTCCACAGCTCTACATTGTTAAATATGGTTTTCTGTGGGCGAGCAGATGGCAATTACTGGATGGCATATGTTCTGTATCAGAAACTATTCCATCAAAAGCTAAGACATATTAGAGATACACTTTAAAAATGTACCTGTTCTGACAAATTCAACTTAGGAACAAATTTGCAGATCCTCTCATGTTCGTAACTTGGGAACAGTCTGTATTTTCATATAAAGTCTATACAGCTTATGGCAAGGTTTAATACAAGGACTGTTTTTCATAGTAACTCTCAAGCAACCAGAAAAAAATACCTTTATCTGACAACAAGCAATTGCCGTGGGTGTTTTGGGTTCACTGTCACCTGTAATAATAATAATAATAATAATAATGGTGACAACATCAATCAATTCCTTTGGGGGGGGGGGGCATGGGTTCACTGAGAGTCTATGTATTTTCATCATAATTCTGTGTGCGTTTTAATAGGCTTGTTTTAATCCATGTATTGTAATTATGTTAAGGAGACATGGGTAGCATAATAATAATAATAATAATAATAATAATTCTAGCATCAACCAATCTCATGGGAGCTATGGATTCAATAAACCTATTTTGGATTTTTTTCTTTGCTTTCTGTTCTTGATGTATGTGTTTTAAAGGTCTTATGTATTTCAACTAAGTTGTACCCTTCCTTGAAGAGGGGCAGTGAAGAAATAAACAGTATTATTACTAGGTTGCTGTGAGCTTTCCAGGCTGTATGGCTATGTTGCAGAAGCATTCTCTCCTGATGTTTTGCCCACATTTATGGCAGGCATTCTCTGAGGGTGTCCGTCATAGATGTGGGTGAAACATCAGGCGAGAATGCTTCTGGAACATGGCCATGCAGCCCGGAAAACTCACAGCAACCCAGTGATTCCGGCCATGAAAGCCTTCAACAACATTGTATTATTATTATCATTCCCAGCCCCGTGTGGAGGCAGCGTGGGCTGCGAAGGCCTTCCAGCATGCTCAGGTCTACTACAATGTGAGTCTTTGCCCTTTTCCCAGATGGGGGGAGTTTTGGGAGGGCAGGCACTCTTTTTGGCCCCTACATTTGGCTCCTAGTGACTCCCAGTTGATCTTCCTCCCTCCCAGCCCAAGAGAAAGGGAGCCTGTAGGTACGTGGGAAGCCCTTTATCTGGCCTGCCTTTGGGGCGGCAGCAGCACTTCGCCTTCCCATGGTCCACCTCAGGGGCTCCTCGGACCCTCGGCTTTGCTTCCAGCATTAGAGTCTCTTCTTCCAAAGTTAGGTGCCTTTACTTGGTCTCTTTCAGTCAAGACAGTGGTTCCCATCCTGTGGTCCATGGACCACCAGTGGTCTCAAAGAATGAAAATATGATCCGCAGGCTCACCATTACTACACCGTTGCCTCAAAACAACACAGCAATGAGAACAACTGGCTTTGCAAAGCCATCTTATAGTGCTGAGGCAACTGGGATGTCAGGAGGGGAGAGGCTGACTACTCACAAAAGATTACTCCTACCACTGATTTAAGATGTATTATTACTTGGAGCAATAAAAGGAAGCTTTTGCTTTTTTTAACTGGCATATTTTCTCATTTCCTACCATATCATATAGAACAGCAGCCAGGTTGCTAACATTAGCGGCGCTCAGGGAGCATACAACCCCCTTGTTGCGCCAGCTCCACTGGTTGCTGCTTTGCTACCGGGCCCAATTCAAAGTACTGGCTTTGGCCTATAAAGCCCTAAACGGTTCTGGCCCAACTTACCTGTCCGAACGTGTCTCCCCTTACGAACCATCGAGGACTGGGGAGGCCCTGCTCTCGGTCCCGCTTTCATCTCAAGTACGTTTGGCGAGGACGAGACAAGGCCTTCTCAGTGGTGGCCCCTCAGCTATGGAACACTCCCTAGGGAGATTAGATCTGCTCCCTCCCTCTTAACGTTTTGGAGGCAAGTTAAAACATGGCTGTTCGAGCAAGCGTTTACAAATGCAGAGTCGCTAATATAGGAAATCAAACGATTTGACAATGGAACTGAACAATGCTTGATAGTTATGAGACGCTAATGATGCTGTTTTATTGCTTTTGTGGTGTTTTATATTGTTTAATGCTTTAATCTGTATTATGTTTTTATATGTACTGATTTGTTCGAAACTGCCTTGAGTCGCCAATTGGCTGAGAAAGGCGGTATACAAATACAGTAAATAAATAAATAAACAAATAAAACACTGGTTCCCGTTATAGATACCAAGTGTTCCTCCAATTCTGATGCATGTCTTTCCGCGTGTGTCTCTTTACCTGTTTCCACTCCTCTGTATATTCTTTCCTGCAGCTCATTTCTTCAGTAGATCCAAGGTTCCTGAATCTGACCAAAACCGATGACCTGATCTACAGCGAGTTCCGGAAGGCCTTTCCTGACCTTAAAATCGACCTGCTAGACGAAGAGGACCTAAAGTCTGACCCTGCCAAGGAGGTCAGTGCTTGGCAGATGCTGTATGGTGTGGACATGGCGGGAAATGCCCTGCTCCTTCTCAAAGCAGAAAGTAATGGCTTCCTCTTCCCTGTAGAAATGGCGTCCGTTCTGCATGCAGTTTGATGGGGTGGTGGAGGACTTCAACTATGGCACCCTCCTCAGGCTGGACTGCAACAAGGAATACACTGAGGAGAACACGATATTTGGTAAGAGGTCCGAATATGTGGCAGGTTGGCTGCCGTGGCTTTGCCGCTCAAGGGCAAGCCCTGCTCAATTCCACAGAAATAGCCATTTGGGGCTTTATCGGCCTTATGAGCCCTGCAATGCATTCGGACAATCATAGAATCATAGAGTTGGAGGAGACCTCATGGGCCATCCAGTCCAACCCCCTGCCAAGAAGCAGGAATATTGCATTCAAATCACCCCTGACAGATGGCCATCCATCCTGTTTAAAAGCCTCCAAAGAAGGAGCCACACTTTGGGGCAGAGAGTTCCACTGCTGAACGGCTCTCACAGTCAGGAAGTTCTTCCTAATGTTCAGACGGAATCTCCTTTCTTGTAGTTTGAAGCCATTGTTCCACTTCCTAGTCTCCAGGGAAGCAGAAAACAAGCTTGCTCCCTCCTCCCTATGACTTCCTCTCACCTATTCATACATGGCTCTCGTCATGTATCCTCTCAGCCTCCTCTTTTTCATGCTAATCATGCCCAGCTCCTTAAGCCATTCCTCATAGGGCTTGTTCTCCAGACCCCTGATCATTTTAGTCGCCCTCTTCTGGACACATTCCAGCTTGTCAATATCTCTCCTCAATTGTGGTGCCCAGAACTGGACACAATATTCCAGGTGTGATCTAACCAAGGCGGAATAGAGGGGTAGTATGACTTCCCTGGATCTAGACACTAGATTCCTACTGATGCAGGCCAAAATCCCATTAGCTTTTTTGCCGCCACATCATGTTGTTGGTTCATGTTTAACTTGTTGTCCACGAGGACTCCAAGATCTTTTTCACACATACTTCTCTCGAGCCAGGCATTGTCCCCCATTCTGTATCTTTGCATTTCATTTTTCCTGCCAAAGTGGAGTATCTTGCATTTGTCACTGTTGAACTTCATTTTGTTAGTTTTGGCCCATCTCTCCAATCTGTCAAGATCGTTTTGAATCCTGCTCCTGTCCTCTGGAGTATTGGCTCTCCCTCCCAATTTGGTGTCGTCTGCAAACTTGATGATCCTGCCTTCTAACCCTTCATCTAAGTCATTAATAAAGATGTTGAACAGGACCGGGCCCATTAACAAGAATGATAATAGGGAACCCTCTTGGAGAAGCCCATTGGCCAAGAACCTTCTCTCTTCTTTTGAGATTCTTTTTTCAGTGTGTTTTGTTGGGATGTTGACCAGAGCGCCTTGTTCTCTTCGCAGCCACAAGGATCCAGTTCTTTGCCATTGAAATCGCCCGCAATCGAGAGGGATACAACTGCGCTGTTTATACCCGCAGCAGGAAAGCAGACGCAGGCTCAGAAGAAGCCAACTCCACATGAGACAAAACAGTGTGTTCAAGAGGAAAAGGGACCCTAATTGTGCTCCAGCCTCTACTCCAGCTGAGTCACAGACTGTCCTTGAGGCCCGGCCAAGTACAGAACGCAGAGGCCAAAAGGACCTTCGTTATGGATAGAACAGGGGGGTGTTCGAGGGCTCACCGCTAGCAGGGGGCTCTAATAACTTCTGCTGCCTGAATACTCTGCCAGAGAATATTAAACGGTAATAAGCAAGACCCTTAATGTCTGTGCCCCTTTTCACTGATACAACTGAAAAGCCCCCGTTTGCAGCTTTTCCCACTGAAAATGGCCATGCTCCAAGGGGATGCCGTTAGGTGCCCTCCCTTCCCCAAAAGCCATAGTGGTATTGGACCCCCCCCAACCTCCCAGCTGCTATGTGAAGACAGCATCTGGCACACATCTTTGTTTCCCTGGGGTGCCTTATGTCCCAAGATGAAATTCGACATTCCTCAGTATTGCCTGTAACTGTTTCTCAACCTGGGGGTCAAAAGGTGTCACATAGGTGGATGGGCTGCAACACTGGCGTCCGGACTATTTTGGGTGACCCTTCTCTGGACACCTTCCGTCTTGACCACATCTATACTTTGAATTGTTTTGTGTCTAGAAATGTACACGGCATTAATCCAGGTGAGGTCTGACCAAAGCAGTAGAGTGGGACTAGGGACCTTGTCACATTGGGATATCATCTGTTTATATCAGTATCTGTTTATATCAGTATCCCATTTTTTTAGGACTGGATGGGATGGGATGCATACTCTCATCATGCCTTATTATGATTCTTATGATTTGAAAATACTGTGCTTTGACTCATCACACCACAGAAGGCTGGCTCTTCCCAATCCATTCAAAACACACTCTATTACTTTTTAAAACAGCATTTCTCAACCTAGGGATTGGGACCCCTGGGGGGAGGGTTGCAAGGGGTATGTCAGAGGGGTCGCCAAAGACCTTCAGAAAACACAGTATTTTCTGTTTGTCATGGGGGTTCTGTGCGGGAAGTTGGGCCCAATTCTCTCCTTGATGGGGTTCAGAATGCTCTTTGATTGTAAGTGAACTATAAATCCTACTAACTACAACTCTCAAATGTCAAGGTCTATTTTCCCCAAATTCCACCAGTACTCACATTTGGGCACATTGAGTACTTGTGCTAAGTGTGGTTCAGATCCATCGTTGTTTTGAGTCCACAGTGCTCTCTGGATGTAGGTGAACTACAACTCCGAAGGTCAATGCCCACCAAACCCTTCCAGTATTTTCTGTTGGACATGGTTGTTCTGTGTGCCAAGTTTGGTTCAATCCCACTGTTGTTGGGAGTTAATTTACCGTTTATTTGTTTACTGTATTTGTATACCGCCCTTCTCAGCCCTCAGGCGACTCAGGGCAGTTCAGAATGCTCTTTGATTGTAGGTGAACTATAAATCCCAGGCCTCCGCCGCAAGCAGAGCCGCATTTTTCCATCTGCATCAGGCTAGGCGTTTGGCTCCTTATCTGTCCAGGGACGACCTGGCCACGGTGATGCAGGCTACGGTCATCTCAAGGTTGGACTACTGTAATGCCCTCTACATAGGCCTGCTTTTATCCGTGATCCGGAAACTAGTGCAAAATGCTGCTGCCCGGCTTCTCGCAGGGGTCCCAGCGAGGTGTCATATCACTCCAATCTTGCAGCAACTGTACTGGTTGCCAATCGAGCACCGGATTACCTCAAAGTGCTGATTCTTACCTTTAAGGCCTCCTATGGCCTGGGGCCGGAGTACCTGAGGGACCGCCTCACCCCCTGCCAACCCCGAGATCACTCTGTTCAGACGATCAGAATCTCCTTGAAGTTCCCAATTTTAGGACCTTTCACCTGACATCTACTAGGCGTAGAACATTCATGGTGGTGGCTCCTTACCTGTGGAATGCTTTGCCAGCGGACACACGAGCTCTCCGAGACTTACTATCTTCGTAGAGCTCGTAAAACTTATTTATTTAGGCTGGCATTTGAATCTTGCTGATTGAATTTTTTCTTTGATTTTAAATGTAATGTATCACATATGTATATTGTAAACCGCTGCAAGCCTTCGGGGAGTGGCGGTACATAAAATTAATAAATAAATATAAAATAAATAATAAATAAAAACCTGCCCCACGCAGGGTCCCAAGCTCCAGGTTGAGAAATGCTGCCTTAAATCCTATTCTTGGCTTAGCCCAGGGGTCCTCAAACTTTTTAAACAGAAGGCCAGGTTATTTATTTATCGTGTCAGGAGCAAACCAGACAGTTGTATTGCATTTTTTAACATACAAACAAATAAAACACAAAGTTTGCAAGCTTGGTAGTTGATTAAATGTCCTTTGACCAGTATCTGGCCACTTGGACTGTCTGGTGTTGCTGCAAGGAGGTCCTCCATTGTGCATGTGGCAGGGCTCAGGTTGCATTGCAGCAGATGGTCAGTGGTTTGCTCTTCTCCACACTCGCATGTCGTGGATTCCACTTTGTAGCCCCATTTCTAAGGTTGGCTCTGCATCTCGTGGTGCCAGAGCGCAGTCTGTTCAGCGCCTTCCAAGTCGCCCAGTTCTGTGTGCCCAGGGGGGAGTCTCTCATTTGGTATCAGCCATTGGTTGAGGTTCTAGGTTTGAGCCTGCCACTTTTGGACTCTTGCTTGCTGGGGTGTTCCAGTGAGTGTCTCTGTAGATCTTAGAAAATTATTTCTTGATTTAAGTCGTTGATGTGCTGTCCGATAGCCAAACGGGATGAGCTGGAGATGTCACTGCCTTGGTCCTTCCACTATTGGCTGCTAGTTCCTGGCAGATGTCAGGTGGTGCAATACCGGCTAGACAGTGTAGTTTCTCCAGTGGTGTAGGGCGCAGACACCCCGTGATAATGCGGCATGTCTCATTAAGAGCCACATCCACTGTTTTAGCGTGGTGAGATGTGTTCCACACTGGGCATGCATACTCAGCAGCAGAGTAGCATAGCGCAAGGGCAGATGTCTTCACTGTGTCTGGTTGTGATCCCCAGGTTGTGCCAGTCAGCTTTCGTATGATATTGTTTCTAGCACCCACTTTTTGCTTGATGTTCAGGCAGTGCTTCTTGTAGGTCAGAGCACAGTCCAGAGTGACTCCCAGGTGTTTGGGTGTGCTGCAATGCTCCAGTGGGATTCCTTCCCAGGTAATCCTCAGAGCTTGGGATGCTTGTCTGTTCTTAAGGTGAAAAGCACATGTCTGTGTTTTAGATGGATTAGGGATCAGCTGGTTTTCCCTGTAATAGACGGGCCAGGTTACAGACCCTCAAACTGTTGGAGGGCCGGATTATAATTTGAAAAAAAACATGAATGAATTCCTATGCACACTGCACATATCTTATTTGTAGTGCAAAAAACACTTAAAACAATACAATAAAATGAAGAACAATTTTAACAAATATAAACTTACTAGTATTTCAATAGAAAGTGTGGGCCTACTTTTGGCTGGTAAGATAGGATTGTTATTGTTGTATGCTTTCAAGTCATTACAGACCCTGAGTGAGGGCCGGGTAAATGACCTTGGAGGGCCGTATCTGGCCCCCGGGCCTTAGTTTGAGGACCCCTGGCTTAGCCTTAAGGCATGGCTCCTGAGTTGCCTTGCTATGTGGAAGTGGAAAGAATCCCACTGTGGAATGAGTGCCCTCCATTTCCCTGCTTGTCCTAATGAAATGTGTTGCGGGGAAAGGAGGGAAGCACAGCAACGGAGGTGGGACATTTTAGCGTGTCCGAGGAGCCCAACCCCATCATTATCTTCTCCCTCCTTGTTGACATCCGCTCTTGTTTCAACAAGCAAACCTCCCCAACATCACAGCTTCTATCGACACAAGAGGAAGACTCTGGGCCTGGTTCCACACAGCTCAGTAGAAACCACTGAAGTTTATTTGCAGCCACAATGCTTACACTGTATGCAGCAAACGCCCTTACAAGTCGTCATCCAGCAATCTGCTCACGCAAAAAAAAAGAAAAAAAAAGGACCCAACACACAATCAATCGCCAACGGAAAAGGGGGGAAGGAAGAAAATAAACAACTGGGGAGGTGCTCTCTGGGAAGTGGAGCCAAGACAATGGGGGGAAAGGGGGTGCACAGAACTAGCAGCAAGGAGGACGGGGAAGGTGCAAGGCAAACGTCTCCCTCCCCCTCATCACTGACTCCCAAGGAAGCTTCAATGCCCAAAGTGGGGCTCCCACTGGGTCAAGCCCCTGCCCTGGCAGACAGCCACCCCAAACCCAGTCCGCACTGCAGACGGCCACCTGGGAACGCTTGTCTTTGCAGATAGGCAGGCAACGCAAAATACCCCATTGGTTTTTTTGGGAGGGAGATGCTAATGTGGCCCCTCGAGCAGCAGGTTCTCTACTAATTCAGAAATAAGGAGGATCCATACAGACAGGAAATGAGGGGTGCAATGTGTGAAAAGGAGGGCAGGACAGACACCATCACCAGCACAGGTTTTCTATGGCCGGCCCTTAGAAGCCAGCCTGAGAAAGCGCGCACGGCGAGCCAGACAGGAGACATACACAGGCAGGGAACAGCATGGATGGAGCATGGCTTTGAGTTCCTAACAAGCGGGAAGGCTGGGGCGGGGGGAGGAGTCGGGAGGGGATGTATAAGAAAAATATACATTTGGAACTTTACACGGGTCTTGTGCCCCTCCCTCCCCCATCCCTCCCCCCTTTGCGCTCCTTACTAAATATAGCTCTGCACCCCGTCCCTCCCTACCGTCCCCCCCCTCCCCTCGGCTTCCTCACTCACACACAACCCTCACATTGTCAGCATTGGTGCACTAAACTCTGTAAAAATTTCAGTCACACTTCTGTTGTTTTTTTTTTAAACTTGAGTCAATATAAACCTTGTTCAAAATGTTATGAAAAAATGTACATGTTTATACAAGGCAGGCTGCGGCAGGACGCAGGGTCCCTCTCTATGACATTCGCCCGGGGAGGGGCCGGCCTCCTCCGCTGGCTGCCGCGCTCCCCCCAAGGGATGAAAAAGCCCCCGCCCCACCACAGAGGAGGCCCCACTCACCCCTTCCTCCTCCTCCTCCTCCTGCAGCCCAGCCCCAGGGACCAGCAGGGATCACAAATGCCCTTTTGTCTTTCCATCGGAAAAGTCAACCTCCCCGGCCCACGGCGGCCAGAGAAAGGCTTCGCGCAAAATGTCAGCTCATCATGTCGTTGCTGTTTACCCCGTAAGTGGAGTTCTTCATGGAGTCGTTCACCTCCCGCCGAAAGGCAGACAGGTTCTGCGTAAACCTGTCAGGGATGCAAAGCAAGGAGAGTTAGGGAAATTTTACCTGATAAACTGCAAGTCGCTTCTGGTGTGAGAGAATTGGCCATGTGCAAGGACGTTGCCCAGGGGACATTGCCCAGATGTTTTGAGACGCACATGCAATGGCACAGGCTGCGATCTGCCCTTTGGCCCCAACAGAGCAAGATGGAGAGGCCACATTGTACAGAGCAACTCTATAAACCAGTGGTTCTCAACCTGTGGGTCCCCAGAGGTTTTGGCCTTCAACTCCCAGAAATCCTAACAGCTGGTAAACTGCCTGGGATTTCTGGGAGTTGTAGGCTAAAACAACCAAGGACCCACACAGGTTGAGAACCAATGCCATAAATTAAACAGAAAGACCACAGATAGGCAGGCACATCTTTAGGGACAGAGACAAGGATGTGCTATCGAAGGCTTTCATGGCCAGAATCATTGGGTTGTTGTGTGTTTTCTGGGCTATCTGGCCATGTTCCAGAAGATACTTGTTAAAACAATACAATGATCATCTATTCCAAGACAATCGAGACTCTTTTAGTCACCATCAGCACTAGTAAAAGATCTGTTCTTGGAAAACATTTCATGCAAAAACATATATTCTGCCAATAAACTCCTAAAATTGTATTGCCGAAGGCTTTCATGGCTGGAATTACTGCTTGCTGTGAGTTTTCCGGGCTGTCTGGGCATATTCCAGAAGCATTCTCTCCTGACTGACTTAGTCTGCAGGGCCTTTCATGTTCCTTGATTTGTGTTTGGGTAATGGTGTGTTTGGTGGTCCCTACGTAGACTTGTCCATATCAATCAGCCAAGCCTTGAAGCTGCAAGGCTATTCAGTGCTAACCAAAGTGATCAACTGCAGCATTTAATTAGTTTTAATCAGTTTGTCCTTTTAATCACTACATGTAGCCCACCCATTATTATTGTGCTTGTGCATATTTTTTATATTGTTATGTATTCATACGTTTTATGTAACTATGATGTTATTGTTTATTGTTTGCGTTTTTTTGATTTGTGTTTTTGGTTTTTCTTTATTGTAATTGTCATTTGGGCTTGGCCTCATGTAAGCCGCTCCGAGTCCCCATAGGGGAGATGGTGGTGGGGTAATAAATAAAGATTATTATTATTATTATTATTATTATTATTATTATTATTATTCACACTGGCCTCAAGAAGCCAAGAGTTCTTTCTCCCACCCTGGGCATCATTCCAGATAGAAACCTCACCTACTTAGTTTCCAACAGACCCCTCATCCTCTGAGGATGCCATTAGCCATAGATGTGGGCGAAACATCAGGAGGGAATGCTTCTGGAACATGGCCAGACAGCCCCAAAAACTCACAGCAACCCAGTGATTCCAGCCATGAAAGCCTTTGTCAACAAATTGGACATCACTATGTTTCTGGAATGAGTTGGGGAGAAGGCAAGAGAAGCCAGGACTAGGTTTGAAAAAGAGTAAGAGGGATTGTCATTGCCTTGCTCTCTTCCTCAGTAGGGACGAGGCAGTGCTAGGGAAGGAGTCTCCCCCTGTTCTGAGTAGACCCCCACCCTCCTCTGTCCCAAACAGTTTGCCATTTGCTGTGCCTGGGAGGAACTCACCTGTCCCGATTCTTGGTCAACAAATTGCGCTCAATGCCCTCCATGAGGTTCTCAAAGCAGAGATGCATTGCTTGCTGCTTCTCTGGTGGCTGGCTGTTCACAATGCTGTTCCGGAGGTCTGAGAAATACTAAAAAAGGGGCAGGAGGTCAGTCCACAGCCCCATCCCTTCTGGAAAGAGCCAGAGCCCCATTCTTAGAAGGCCTGGACCCAGCCCAAGGGGTGCCATACCTTTTCATTGAGCAGGATCAGGCCGAGCAACGGCCGGGACATGGACCACTGATTCCGGCAGTCCTCAAAGATGATGATATTCAGCACAGTTGAGAGCATCTGTGGGGAGGGAACAAGACCAGGCTGCACAAGACCCATCTCACCTGCAAGCAGGCACTGAAAGGTGTGCAAGCGGTGTGTGCGTATGCACGCATGCAAGACTGGAGAAGGAAGGGGTCCATTGCCGTTTTACCCAGACCCCCCCCCCAATACTCCACCTCCTTCCAGCCGAAACGGCCTCCTCAGCCCCACCCCCAACCCTTTACCTGCTGGATCATCTCTGGGTGCTGCTGCATGATGTGCAAGAAGCGGTCGCTCTCCTGGGTCAGTGGGGCAGCCCTCTTCTTGGTGCTGCGGGAGAGCTGCTTGAAGAGATAGGTGACAATGTGGTCCAGGCAGGAGCAGCAACCTGTGCAGACCATGGTGTCTAAAAGGACAGGAGAGAGGGGCTAACACAGGGCAAGGAACTCGCACAGAGGGTGGGTGCCCACCGCCCTCAGCCAGGTGCACCCTCCCTGAATCAAAGCACAGACCAGGCTTCTTATATGAATCATAGAATCCTAGAGGTGGAAGAGACCTGGTGGGCCATCCAGGAAAATCGCCTTCAAAGCCACTCTGACAGATGGCCACCCAGTCTCTTCTTAAAAGCCTCCAAAGAAGGAGCCTCCACCACACTCTGGGGCAGAGAGAGTTCCATTGCAGAACAGCTCTCTCTCACTCAGGAAGTTCTTCCTCATGTCCATGTGGAATCTCTTTTTTTTCTTGTCATTTGAAGCCTAGTCCTAGTCTACAGGACAGCAGAAAAAAAGCCTGCTCCCTCCTCCCCCTCACATATGTATACATGGCCCACATTCTGTCTCCTCTATGCCTTCTCTTCTGCAGGCTAAACATGCCCAGCTCTTTCAGCCACTCCTCATAGGGCTTGTTCTCCAGACCCTCCTTTGAGTCGCCCTCTTTCTCTGGACACAGTATTCCAGCTTAGAGTAAACATCGTCCTTCAACTACGGTGCCCAGAATTGGACACAGTGTGATTCCAGGTAAAATGATTTGACCAAGGCAGAATAGAAGAGAGGAGCAGCATGACTTCCCTGGATCTATACCAGGAATGGGTAAACCCAGGACTGGGGGCCGTATGCGACCCCTTGGACCCTGTTTTCAGGTCCTTCTCTCACACCATCCTATTCTTCCTTCCTTCCATCTCTCCTTCCTTCTCTCCTGCCCTTCCATCCTTCCTTCCTCCCTCTTTCTTCTTCCCTTCTTCCATTTCATCCTTCCCTTCCACCCTTTTATCTTTATTCCCTTCTCTTTCCTACCTCCTTACCTCTCCCCTTTCTCCATCCATCCTTCCCTTCCACTCTTTCATCCTCCCCTCCCTTTTTCTTTACTTACTTTTCTCTTTCCTTTATCCTTCCCTTTCTTCCATTCTTCTCTTTATCCCTTCCTTCCTTCTCTTTTTCCTTCCCTCCTTCCCTTCCACTGTTTCATCATTCCTTCCTTCCTTCCCTCTTCCCTCTCTCCCCTTCCATACTTCCCTTCCTTCCTCCCTCCCTCCCTCCCTTCCTTCCATCACCAGGCAGCCAGTCCTCCTAGCAGGGAGGGTTAGCATGCGACCCCCAAGTTAGAAAGTTTGCCCAGGCTTCATCTAGATCAGGGGTCCTCAAACTAAGGCCTGAGGGCTGAATATGACCCTCCAAGGTCATTTACCTGGCCCTTGCTCAGGGCCAACCTAAGTCTAAAACTACTTGAAAGCACACAACAACAACAACAACAACAACAACAACAACAACAACAATCTTATCTCATCAGCCAAAAGCAGGTCCACACTTCCCATTGAAATATTAATAAGTTTATATTTGTTAAAATTGTTCTTCATTTTAATTATTGTATTGTTTTAAAGTGTTTCTTGCATTACAAATAAGATATGTGCAGTGTGCATAGGAATTCATTCATGTTTTTTTCAAATTACAATCCGGCCCTCCAACAATTTGAGGGACTGAGACCTGGCCTTCTGTTTAAAAAGTTTGAGGACCCCTGATCTAGACACTAAACCAGGGGTCCTCAAACTTTTTAAACAGAGGGCCAGGTCACAGTCCCTCATACTATTGGAGGACCAGATTATATTTTGAAAAAAAAACCAAAACATGAATTCCTATGCACATTGCACATATCTTATTTGTAGTGCAAAAACCCCTTAAAAACAATACAATAATTAAACTAAAGAACAATTTTAACAAATATAAACTTATTAGCATTTTAATGGGAAATGTGGGCCTGCTTTTGGTTGTTGAGATAGGATTGTTGTTGTTGTTTGCTTTTAAGTTGTTTCAGACTTAGGTTGACCCTGAGCGAGGGCCAGTAAATGACCTCGGAGGGCCATATCTGGCCCCTGAGTTTTAGTTTGAGGACCCCTGCACTAAACTATTGATGCAGGCCAAAATCCCATTGCCTTTTTTTGCCTTTGGATGACATTCCTGGCTCGTGTTCCCCTTCCTCCCCATGAGGACTCCAAGATCTTTTCCACGGATCCTGCTGTCGAGCCAGGCATCATCCCCTATCCTGTCTCTTTGTATTTCCTTTTTTCTGCCTAAGTGGAGTGCTTTGCCTTTAAAAACAAAGGGGGTTGCAAAACTGCAAGGAGCGTGCTGAAGCGAATATGGCTTTGATTAAACTATACTTTGATGAACGGCATGCAGAAAAAGCACAAAACACAACTCTGCAACTCTTTTGCAGAAGATGGCAGTGGAAGCGCAACCTCCCAGAGCAGGCTTGATGTCTTTCCTTGCACCAACCACTGCTGGCCTCCCTCACAGCCAAGCAAGGTGCCCCAGGGCCAGGGAGAACGGGGCTACTTACCGAGTGCTGTGAGACCTTCCGAAATGGAAGAGAGAATATACATGATGACATGGGGCTCCAAGCTAGCAATAAAGTTCATGTGGTCTTGGGTGAGGACTTCCAGCAACGAATAATAGGACTGGCTGAGTTTAGGGTAGTCCTGCAACCAAGGAAAAAGGAGGATGTGGGGACTTCTGTGTGAGATCGCAAGGCAGCTGGACGCTCAGCCCAAACGCAAGCGGCTCTGCTCCGAATACTGGTGGAACCCCGTCTGCCTCGGAGAGGGGCACCCGTGGGGTTGCTGCGGGCGAGGCTTACCAGGAGGTCACTGTGGGGGATGGAGAGTAGCAGCTTGATGAAGGTCTGCAAGGCGTTGTCCAGTGCATCGTCTCCATAAAGGCGGAATACCCCAAAGTTGACGTAGCTGCCGCTCAGCGCAGCCTTCAACATGGAGAAGCAGATGGAGATCCCTTTCAGCTTCAAGGCGTATACTTGATCCTTTGGGACCTCCCCCAGGGTCAGGATGCGGTTCCCTGCAAAAGCGGTTGGTCTTTCAGTAGGAGATCTGGCATCCCAAGACTCCCAAAGTGCATTTCCTATTCAATTTCTCAATGGCTACATTCAATTTCTCAACTCCACCAGCATTTCTCAACCTGGGGAGTCAGAGCCCCTGTGGGGGTCGTGAGAGAGTTTGAGGGGTCGCCAAAGACCATCAGAAAACATATATTTCTGATAGTCTTAGGGACCCTTTTGGCTAATTGGCATTGAATGCTTGCCATATATGCGTACATTGCAATCCGCCCTGAGTCCCCTGCGGGGTGAGAAGGGCGGAATATAAATGCTGTAAACAAATAAATAAGATCTCTCCACCTGTCCTCCTCTTCCTTTTTGGAAACAGAAGGTGAACCCTCCCACCAAAACCCCTCCTCCACTGTGATTG